ATTAAATTCAGTTTTAACAGAGAAAGTTTGAATAATCCAGTTACATTTCACTATGTGAAACCTTGGCAAGCACAACTAATAATTTGGAAATTATATCATGGCATTGAAACAAATCTAACTGTAAAGGGGAATTCTAATTGGTTAACATAGAAACTGGATACAGGGACATTACCGCGAACGACGTTACCGCGAACGACATTACCGCAAATACAGAGAACGACATTACCGCGAAAACTTGTTTGTTGGAAAAGCCGAATAAATGAGGCCGGTTTTGTATTTTGTACATCATGTTTTCAAACTTAACTGACGTTATGTGATGACTAGTCATTATCTGATACAGCCACAGATATCTAGTTTACCATCACGATAATATGTTTTATGTGAAAATACTTTTCGAACTCACTCTCACAATGCCCTCTCTCCACTTCCCACCTCCCTCGACATGATATACAAAGTACAAAACCAGGCTCATTTATTCTTCTTTTCCAATAAACGAGTCTTCGCGGTAACGTCGTTCACTGTAATGTCGTTTTTTGTATTCGCGGTAATGTTGTGTCACGTAGAAACTGTGCATGATCAATTTTTAGCAGAGACCACATAAAGCCCGATCGATCTTATATGACACTGTAGGCTATAGATCAACAGGAGAAGAACTGTTAACTCTATTTGCCACTCACAATCTTTCTGTAACAATGATGATTCATCGTCAATTGTCGTATCGTAAAAGTCAAATTGTAACTTCAATGTCAAAATAATGAGAAATTTTAGGAAAATTTGCAAATAATCAATTTTCTTTAGATCTGTTTACTTAGTTTGAGTCGGATCCGAGATCAAGGCTTTTGACTTCTGCTTTTTTTTTGTTAACGTGCATTTTACCGATCACCCCAGACGTAGTCTTATCGACCCAAACGTCGTTTTGCACTGCCTAGTGTTTGGAGAGTAGAAACATTATGAGTCATTTTTTTCGCTTTTCTTTTGGTATCGAAGAATTTTTCTTTTACAATACGTGCATGTTTCTAACCGCGTTTATGAGAGCCTAAATCATAATAAAGTGTCATTTGATCATCGATATCTGGCCTGCTGGTGTCATTGTCTGTATCCTTTGACAAACATGACATGCAACAAAGTCAGCAGAATTCGATAAACGTTGCATAGAGGTCTGCGCAACGTTAACGGAACGATTATAAGTGAAAGTAAACGAAAGAAACAGTATTTTTTCTTTTTCCGTGCAACATATGCGTGAAAGAAAAGAAAACTTTATTTAGCAAAGCATTTTTTTTATTCTGTCCTTTTATTATTATGAGGGTTATATGTCTATCTTACCTATCATCGTACACGTTCGTCAAGCAGAAACATTCATTTCGCGATAAATTTTAAAAAGTGACGTGAGACAATAGCTTCTCATATATATTATTAAGTAAGCAAATAATTTTACAAATTTTGAAGTGCAACAGTGTTTTCTTAGCAGAAAATCGGGATAGTTGTCGTAGCGAAGAAGGATTGTTTAAGAGTTGATACTGTTTGATATGTACTAGAAGGCAAAACACTGAGGACGGCTGTCATCACTTCTACTTCCGTGATGATCCTTTACTTACGCTTTCACAACAGTTAGGTAATACGAAAATTTTTACTTCAACAACTATCGACGTCAGCTAACAGAATTAAAGCGCGATTTGCAGGGATGATCAACGTGTGTATCTTTCCGCCGAGCGGACCTTGAGGACAAGGATACCTCGACGAAAAGAACTGAGCAACATGAAAAATAAGTAGGCAAGCTTAAAAAAGTTTATTTCTGACCTCACATCTGATCCAAAAATATCCTTTTCTTTTGCATTTCTTCTTCTTTTATTTTATTTTAGTGAGACGTTATGGCTGCTGCTCTACCTTCTTCGACAGAGCAGCCCGGTCGCCCATGGAATCTAACCGCAGAACAAGAGCATAAGCTAAAAGATTTCTGGAGCCTCATGTTCAAATACTTTGATGGAAAACAACCGGACCAGTTGGAAGAGGAGGAGGAAGAGAAGTCGGCTACTCCTCGGGGAGGTGGTAGGTTCAGCTGGCTGAGAGGAAAGTCAGTAGAAAAAAGTGAAAATGAAGTCAACAATGAAGATAAATATCATCTTGGAAAGGGATTCAAAAAGATTATTGCTGAATTACCTCCGTCGGAACTAAGATCAACGACCTATTCTATGGTTAAATGCCACCATCCCGACACTCTTGTTCTTCGTTATTTGCGTGCCAGAAAATGGAACGTCAGCAATGCACTGGTAATGTTATTTGCATCTCTCCGCTGGAGAGTGAGAGAAATGCGTGTTGACCAGATCCTTGAGCGTGGTGAACTAGGATACTTGCAAGATGGTAACGAAGAGTTTATGGAACAATGCAGATCTCACAAATCTGTTATTGCTGGACGTGATAATTTCGGACGTCCTTATGTTATTGGTCGTCCTCGTTTTCACTATCCTAAAAATCAGGCTCCAAATATTATGAATGAATACATTCTGTTGATTCTTGAAACTACAAATCTACTTCTTGGAGAGACTGAAGACCAAGGTTCAATCCTCTTCGACATGACCGGTAATAAATTTTCCATTTCTCATCAATTATAAAACAGAAAACCTATTCAAATGAGAAGAGTAGTAACAATAGAGAATCAGATGTGTTTTTGAGATCATCCCATGGTTTCTGAATATTTTTTCCGAAAAAATACAGCTTTTTTTTGCAAACAAGGTAGCTGAAAGTGTTTGATAATGAGGATAATCTAAATGTCATTTTTAGGATTCGGTCTATCTAATATGGATTATGCATCCGTCAAATTCATGATTGCCTGTCTTGAAGCTCATTATCCCGAAGTTCTAGGAACTCTTTTGATACATAATGCACCTTGGATCTTCCAAGGTATCTGGAAAATTATTAATCCATGGATTGACCCTGTTGTTGCTCGAAAAATTCAATTTACTAATACTACTGCCGATCTTGAAAAGTTTATTCCGCTTAACCAGCTGCCAGCTCGTGAGTTTGAAAATGGTGGAAACGAAAATGCACCATGGGACTACATCGAACCTGATCCACAGGAGAACGCTAAAATGAAAGATTTTGCTACCCGTGATAGATTCTTAGCAGATCGTGAGAAATTGTACGACGAATTCGAAAATCTTACTCGTGAATGGATTGATGGAAAGGATGTGAATCATCAACGAAAAGAGGTTGCCAAAAAGCTCAATCGAAACTATTGGCAGTTAGATCCCTATATTCGTGCTAGAGGATTATATGACCGTATCGGATGGATAAAACCTAGACCTCTATTCGGAGAAACCACTATATAATGGCTTACGTCCTGCAATTCGTTGGTTTATCCAGGATCAGCATTTTTGTTACGATTGATGTTTTATTTTTATACAGATAAAAGCAGGACTGAAAAATATTGTGATGAAAAATAAAAGATATAAACCGAATATCGTATGTCACTTACTTACCTGAATTCTAAAATCTAATAATTGAAACATATTTCTGAAGCTTCTAACAATTTTTATAACGTATGACTATTCGTGGAAGTACTTTTTCTCTTAACAGACGTGGATAACTTACACGCTTTTTTTAGGAGTTAGAGAGAGAAAAGTATACGACTACACTCTAAAAAAAAATGCGACTTAGGATCAAATTAAGTCGCATATATGTGCCTTATTCTGTGATAATAAGACACATATATGCGCCTTAATTTGATCCTAAGTCGCATTTTTTTTTAGAGTGTACAGAGAAGACTTGCTCAATAATCATCTTAGAATTATTTGTTGTTGAACTTTCGTCTCCAAGACGAACATTTTCCCGCTAGTTTCATAAATGAAAAATCCAAAAAACGGAAAATGGAAAAATTTTAGCCTTTCGCTATGTGGCTGAAGTTTTTTATCAAGACTACTCGTCCTTATGCCATAAACAGCAATGATGAATGAGTCATATTTAAATCCGAGTGAGGCTGCTGTATGTTTGCCGCCAAATGGTTAGAAAGCTGGCCGTACGAGTGCGTGCATTGTATAGACAGAAGGCACTAAAATAGTACCGCGATGTGGCGATCTCAGTAAGATATGAATATGGCTTATTCATATATAGTGTCATCCTTTTCGCTCTATTCAGTTGCTATGTTTTCTCGTTTCTTATTTTAAGACGAAACTGGCGCCACGCGGCCTCGTCGTCAATAAACGGACGCTTTCCACGAGGAGGGAAAAAGCGAATTTTGAATTTCATTGAACTCCACGAACTTTAGTAGGCAAACTTTCGTAACATATCGCTATTATTAAAGTTATACGCATGTTGTCAATAACATTAGTTATGACTCTAAATTAAATTCCATTATTAGATTTTCAACACCTTTGAATAAATAAATGAATAAATTTTATTTTAGGCAAAGAGAGAATATCACAAACAAGGAAAAAAGACTTGTAGCACTCTGTAATAACCCGTCATAGATGACAGATATGGAATAAAAAAAGCAAATTTCTGAAACAGAAAATTTTCTTAACTTCAGACTAGAATGATAGAGGAGGGAGTTTATAGTTAATTCAGAATACTCTGGTTCGTGGGATCTCCAGAGTATGTTCAAAGAACTCTCGAGTTTTAGTTGGTTACAACCAATAGAATGAATGAACGTGATATGCGGTCTCTAGAGTTCACCAGAAAACTCTGAGGATAGTCTGTCACTTATAATCAAGGGATTCAGCGTTCCAGTGAACATTACTGGAGTTTTTATATCTTCTACAATTTGTTTGAGCAGATGATCAATATTCTATTTGTATTTTTCAGTTAGTTGCGACATGTTGTACACTATAAAAAAACTTGTGTAAAGTTCTTCTACAAACATAGAAAGAATTCTCGTCGGACAAGTGGCAATTTTTCACTAAAAACGGGTGTGGTCTTTTCAACTGAGTATGAAGAGGAGGCTGAATGCAAATAGAATTCTAGAACATCTCAAACATTAGATTCTCACTTAGTTTAGGCAGACGGAAAATAAACAGTTCTGAAACAATGTTTTGTTATATAAATCTTTAATTCGTTCACTACATTGTTAATTCAATTTATTTGCTAATTTATAAAAAATCGACTTTGAAAAATCGAAAATGATTTTAGAGCCTTTACGAAATCGTGAACAATTTTATAAGAATATTGAAAATGCTTATTTTCTACCTTTTTTGTTAAAAAGCGAGTTGATTTTCAAGAATTTTGATTTTAAAATACTTTGAAAACTCCTCTTGATTCTTCAAGTAATAGAAAACGTTTTCTGATTTTCTCTAAAATTGAAGATTCTACTGATTTTATAGAAAGTCCGACTAACTTTTTTGAAAACAGTATTTGATTTTGTTTAACATAAAATAAATTTCTGGAAAATCGTCTTTATAAGATGTAACGAGAGTAAGTGCTGTGATAGACACCGAATTTTTTTGATTGTTTCAGTCAATCTCTGAAAGATAAGACACCTAAATTTCTCTAATTTGGTCTTAGTCTTGGCCGCATACTCTGAAGACTGTTGCTCTACATCATTACATTGTTAGCGTTTGTTTCATATTTACCTTGATGATGGTTTTTATGATACTATGCAGTATTATCTGTTTTTATCTTTCCGTTTAGAAAAAAGTTGAAGTATTCTTCTTCTAAACGAAAGAAACGTGCGGTAAAATCATTTTAACGATATGTCATTCAGTACGCCATTTGTATTCTGTTATTCATGATTCATATTTCGAAAACATAAGCGCATCTTTTATTGAAAAAAGCAAATTTAACTGATTAATCCTTTATTATGCTCTCTTCTTCGTTAAAAAACCTACAGAACAACGGGTGTGCCAGAATAAATGAGCCTCTCAGTATTTTGCTTATACCTTGGTTTGGATTTGTTACCGAGACTTGATGTTTCTTTTAAAAGATGCACTGTGAAATACTATACAAAATTATACCCAAACTATAATTTCAGAATTTTAATCAAGAAAACTAAGCCAATTAGATCAAAGTCGAAAAAAATGAAAACTTTTCAAAATCAAAAGTGATTTCTTGTGTTAACGTTTTGAAAGTAAGAAAAACCGAATTAGCCATTTTGTAGTCCGGACTTGGCTCTCTCTTTTAGCTAAATTTTTCATATCAATTATTCAAATTTTTTCCTATCAAAAGCCATAGCGAAATAATAGTTTGTCTGTCGGTTGTCATGCATTTTTTCATTATTTTTTTTACATTTTGGGTATAATGGTGCTTTCAGTAAAAGTCCCATAACACCATCAGAAAAATAACTTTTTCGGTCGAGTTTGTTTTGATCAGAAATGATTGCTCTTCTCTATCTGACTGCAAACCAAAACTTCAATCATGTTTTCCGTGTCTTGCTTGAGCACATTGTTGGAAACGGGAAGGTTGTCAACTTTTGACGTATTTTTGTAACTTCGTTTTCCAGCACGCCATCTACTCTAAAAGAACTATTTTATAGACCACGAGAAAGAGCACATTTGAACGCACATACGAAACATAAACTGAGTTCTCACTTTTGCTACACTTTTTAGCGAAAATAGTAGCAGAAGAAAAAGTTCAAGTAGAACAAAATTTTGACTTGGAAAGTTTTCATTTTTTTTGACTTTCGTTTAACTGCCTAGTTTTCTTAATCGAAGTTCTGAAATTATAGTATAGATATGATTTTGTAGAGTATTTCGCAGTGCATCTTTTAAAAAAACCATCGAGTCTTGGTAACAAATTCAAACCAAATTATAAGAAAAATACTGCGAGGCTTATTTATTCTGCGATACCCGTTAGTTCTTTCCCTTAATTCAAAAGTAGAATAAAATTCAGAAACAGAGAGATATATTCATGAATTCCTTTTTTAAACACGTCGTTAGTCTTTCGTCTCATCTTTAAGAAATGTTCCTGCTGTATGTGTAGTGTTCTGGTAGAAAATTAAAGCGACAGAACTAATTAGTTCTTCTCCATTCACCTGTGTTAAACCATCGTTTTACTGTCCTCGGTAAATCTCTTTTTGACTCCATGTAAAGAAAAAAACGAGAAGGACGCTGAACAATTGTAAAAAATCGTTCTAGATTTTCAATTTCTTTAGAAATATATTCCACTTTTGATTTTCATCCTTTCTCCACTTTAAAACACAGCATATTTCTACTTTAGCTTTTCGAAACATACACCGGTTTTCCAGCAATTCTACGACAAAGACTACTTCCCGACAAAAAGACTTTCACACATTTTTCTATTATGAAAAGTTGTGCTACAATCTTGCTCATGGACTGCCGGATTGTCGAACTCACACATTTTGGAATTTCAATTTTTTGGTTTATTTAGTATTTGTTCAACAATCGTTGGATTAGCATCAAGAGATTAGCTGATCAAGTTGACTTCTTCCTCTTAAGGTTACTCATTTATTTCAGAAATAGAATTTATTTTTCATTTTGGACCACTATCCGTCCCAAAGTACAAGACCATCGGTTAGTTTTTGAATAATTCAAAAGAAATAATATATACTTGCGGAAATAATAATATAGAAATAATCAAATAGACTTGCGGTTTTCATCATTCGCTAGTCAAGACTTGCAGTTATGTTTTCATCAGCAAAAACGAATTTGGAAAAAATTTTAAAGATGGGTTTTTCAAGAGATCTGTAGAAAACTAGTTCGGTTGTCTGAAAACTGACATAGAAATCTATGGACTTTTTCCATACATATATAGTCCGACATGTCCCTGCAAAACTAGATCTAAACGACACCTTGAAAATCCGTGGTTAGTAAGCTATGAACGTTTTTCCTGAAGCGTTAATTTTTAATAAAAATAATTAGATAATGTGTTATTTCTTCTAGTATAGGTTTTCATTCGGTTGTTGCATTTTGTTCTGAAAACTAACATCGCCACGAGATTCAGCATAGTCGATAATCTATGTTTTCATTTATTTCTGGCAGTTTCAAACCTTAACGTTAGGTTTGGAACAAAAAATACAGATATATATACAATGCAACATGCTCTGCAAATGAGATAGATAAGAAATTGATTTTGATGAAAAAATGTTCACTGTGGAAATTCGGGTTTCCAAAGTATAATGGAAAAAAATGACTATGATATTCAGAATCAGCATCGTCGATCACATATATTCGTGTCTCTTTCGAGGAAAAAACTGTCCGACACTTAGGAGATGCAATTGTCAGAGATTTGTTACTTAAGTTAGAAATGCTTGCTTCAGCCGCGGATTATTAAGCATACCTTGGTTTTGGTTCTTTATAGAAATTTATTTTCGAAACATGATTATTCCAAAGTTATATGGTTTCAGAATCAAATAAAACTTCCATGATAAATTTGTTTATGATTCGAGGGTAAATTTCAGAATGAGTTTTGTTTGAAAGGAATATAGACCACTATTTTTACATACTATAATCAGTACAACGAGGCGGATCGATCAATTTCCTAACGAACAGCAGAAAGGTTCTTCGTAGAAAGTGTGTGTAACGAATAAGAAATAACTTATATCAAATAAGGACTGACGTCACTCTTCATTGTGCGGGAGATCAAGAAAGTAGTTTGACATGCACCTTGTTTAAAGCGTCAAACAGAAGAGACTAGACGAGAGCTAAAGTCTAACCAATACGCAGACAACAAATAAAATAGTGAGTGTTTCACCAAATCAAATGATTCTTAGTCACATTATTAGAACTTTTGAATGAGAGAAAGAGTTAAAGAAGATCAATTTAAAGTATGAAGACATTTTTCACTTGGGCATTAACAACCAAAAAGCTTTCTCTCCACTACACGTTCGTTTAAAATACTGAGGGATTTTCTTACTAATATCAACAGTAAAGTCGTATCAGTGTCCATTCGACACATGCCTGATCGCCTGGATTATGTGCGTATTGTAAGAAACGATAACCAGTTTTCCATAATTGGTTGAATACTTGTTGTTGTAACATTGCATGATAAATATCACGATGCCACCAATGCGATTCAAATGCTATTTGATATGGAAAAATTTTATTCTTGAATAAATCAGCAAATACTGAATATTCACTAGCTTCAATATCCATTTTCAATACATGTAACATTTCATGTTTATTATCCAATAATATTTGCTCAAAACGTTTAGAAGGTTTTGTCCCAAGAGAAGATTGATTCGGATACATATATTGTTGTATACCATTTTCTAAACAGATTTTTTTAAAAGTTAATCGATGAATTGGAATTTTTGGTGGTAAACTTGTACAATCAAACGTGTATATTTGACAATGTGTTTGTTCTGCTAGACTTTTTTCAAAATCAAATTCATTATTTGATCCTAAAAATCAAATTATTCTATGTATCTAACGGTAAAAGTATGGATTAACATACAACATACCTAAACTGTAAATAATACAACTGTCATTCTTCAATTGCTTTATATCGCAAAGTAATTTTCCGGTATCAAGTGAAGAGCCGTATCGTTTTAATTCGTTGTTTGGACATGTAAGAGACATGTTTATTGGATAGAATAATTTCGTGATTAGATGAACAGCTGTTCCATCAGATTGTGCATATTCCAGTAGAACGTCGTATGTTCTTGTCATTTCATTTTCTTTCCATTCAAACCATTTTAATTCTATATCATACACTTCTTTTTGATTATAATCGTTTAAAAATGGATTTTTTACACACCATTTAAGTTGTGGTGATAATTCAGTATGAAGTAATTCATTTGAGTCAAAATAGACTGGAGAAGAATGTAATATTTTTCTAAATCTTGGAAATTTGCTATGAACGATTTGTGTATAATAAAAATACACAATAATTATAGATATAAAACAAAATGAAAACAGTATCAGTATCAGAATTCTCATAGTTATAGACTAATATTTTCTCATCTATATACTTATGACACGTTGGAATATGAGTTTTTCTAATGATTGAATCATTTTACGGTCAATTTTCATGTTGTATATTTGTGTGGATGTAGAAAAAGCGGACAAACGTTAATTAAATTTATACATACATATACGTCCTTCAGTGAGTTGATAGTCAAAACGTCAGTACTTATATACAATAGAGTTATCTAAGTGTAGAAATCCTTCTATAACTCGACACAAAAACAGAACAAACAAAAATATAGAAGCTAGTTACATCGTAATATATTAAATTGTATAAAAATAACCAAGATTTCAGTATGATTTTTCGTATAGAATATGTGAATACTGTGATATGAGACCGATTAATTCTTTATGAAAAATAATTAATCAGAAATACTAGAAAACTAGAAGAGTTAAAATTTCAATGCAACCGATGCATTTGACCAATTTTTTTCTTTCAATTATGATGAGACTTTATATGTATATATGCTATTTTTCTTTCCTTTTATGAAGGTAATGAAACTAAAAGCACTCGATGTATACACCTTTTTCTATTTATTTACTTGGTTACTCCATTACAACGTTAAAATAAAAATGTGTTTAGCCATATTTATACGTACCCTTTCCTCAAATTGCATTAACAGTCATTTTCTTCAGTAGAGACAGATAGACACTGAATATGAATTGATTCGAACGTCAAGTACGACTAGGTAAGAACAAATTTATCCTTCGAAAACATTTTAGACGGCTTAGACCATAGTCAAAGTCGAGAATAGCTAAATGAGACAAGAAATGAGTCTTTCGATTTGTCTTCATTGTCACATAGTTGTTTGTCTTTCTTCTATTTGCATCTCTGAGTATAAAACTATTGGACATGAAAAAGAAAACATTAGATGAAGTTGGCTCGGCCGTTTCGTTCTGGGTTAGTGCACCAGTGCTTCGTAAGAAATGTGGAAAAAAGAAAAAACAAGATGTATCTGTATTGTCATCTTTCTCGTCAGGTGATAATCAGCTGCTTTCTAGGACTGTGCGCGGTATGTGCATATCAAAATGCCTATGTCATATGCGAGCCAACCCTAAAAAATGGCAGAACTTGCATTGAGAGACAATACAATTCAAGTCATAATTGGCGAAAGTTCAGTGTCCTTTCGCCAATACTACCCATGGCCGCTAGCCAACTGGCGAAAGTCCAGTGGATCTTCGACAACTAACGAACGTCTAGTTGGCGAAAGTCATATTGGCGTACCTCCATGATCCTCCAAACGAAGGATGACCGGACAGCCTTGAAAAAAGTGACGGGTATATCGCCCATATACGAGTGCGATCATTAAAGAGACTTAGAAGTTAATTTATTCAGATAATCCTGAGAATCGAGAAGAATCAAGTTATTGTAAATTTTATAAAATGATATGAGTCGAAAGTACTGCAGGGGTGTAACCGGTTTCGAAAATGCGATACCGGTACTGGTCGGTACCGGCTTGTCTTGATGGTTTTTTGCTTAAATACAAACACTTTTTCCTTGTATATAGAAATATGTCATAGATGAACTGAACGATATTTTTCGCCAAATCATATCATATCGCAAAATACCAGTAATGTCGACCGATTGAGTATACTTCATACTAATACCCGTATACCGGTCGGCCTTATAATTCATACCGGTACCGGTTGCACGTCTGAAGTACTGGCATCTGACTTTGAGATCGGCCGAACTTAGTTGATTGACTAAAGGTAGATTATCAGTTTTGTAATTGAAATTTCTGGTATCAGTCTTAATTTTTGGAGCAAGAGAAAAATAAGCGTATGAACATTGTCAACGTAGAGTGGCATGTCGACCACATTTATGCGTACCCTTTTCTCAAATTGTATTAAGAGTCATATTTTAGTAGAGACAGATAGGCATTGAATATTCATGTCACAAATCGATCTGATGTTCGAGCTTCAACTACAACTAGGTAAAAACAGAGGACGAGGGACGACGATAAGAGCCAAAACCGGCTCCCTCACAGATCAATCTTATATTACCCGATATGATACAGTTTTTGTCTGCCATCAACCCTAACATATTTGTAGATCTTAAAAGCCCTTTTCAGTGCCCCTTGGGAACATTTTCGCAAACAAAACTTTTCACTCTTTATATGAACTTTCCTCTAAATGTGTATTTTTATCATTCCATTTGTTTCACCGAGAGCAAGTATCGATTATTATATTGCGCCCGATAGAGAATTTCACGGGTTACAAAATCAGCTATAACACATTAGTTTAAAAGTTTGTCTTCATAAATGTATCGGACAAATACTTGACAGGTATCTCGATTTTTTTGCCTACAGTGGCACGTTAAAATGATTGTAGTTGCTTCTGCAGACAGAGATTAGTTATAGTTTGTATATAGAAAGATGCCGAATTGAAAGGACTACAGAATAATGTATAACATATTCTTTCAAATCCTAATTTTGGCAGACTTATGGGAAAGATACCCAACGAATGTAGTAATTTTGCCCTATTGTATAATAATGAATGAGATACACAAAAGCAGACCCGAAATGCTTATGATATAGAAAAATGGAGAAGGTAACTTGCTTCAAATTTAAATACATCATTTTTTTTAAGAGAATGCCGTCAAGCATTTATATACTGAATGACTGTCGCGACTTTTATTTGTGGTGGCTCTCAGAACTATTCAGCAATGTTTATTTTCAGTTTTTCTCCTCGAAGATGATAGCTGCATCACATGCCAGGAAAGATTTGAATAGCTCAAGGAGTTTCCAGTCTGATCTACGGCAAATAAAGATTTCACTAAAGTTTCTGGGACCCAGATCGCTAGAAAACCCAAACTCTAAAAAGTTAAGTCCACAAATTCGAATGATAGTTGCAATACAAGTTGGATCTTCGTTTACATATGGAGAAGTACTTAAATCATCTCTGATAGCGTCTTTTAAGTCAACTTGTTCTCTTTTTTTCCACTGACTATTTTTTCATATCAAGGTTTGTCTGAAACCTATGCTGGATTTTTCAGAAATATTATTTCTTCTGACAACTATGTCCTCTGATGGAATGTCAAAATAATCAAGTTAAAAATGTATTTTGAGCTTATTTTCCATAAGAACAGCTGGAAAATGTGGCTAAACCTCTTTTCTGCAATAGTCGAGTCAAAATAAGCAACAAAAACGAGGGGCTATTTTCTAATGAAGTTAACCCCCCTCCTTTGTTCAAACTATCCTGAAATTGTCAGAAGGTCAAACTATCCTCTTTCGATTGCAGAAAACCGCAAGTCTCTACCTTTTATCGTCTTTGAGTTATTCAGAACACAATAACGGTCTTATATTTAATTATTTATATTTATTATTTAGTAATATTTTTCGAAACTTTGCCACAGATTATGGCTCATGGAACCGCGATGAACGTGTTATTAATTTTTCATCACTATAGAATTATCTTTTTAAAAAAGCAATTATATATTCTGATAGAGCTTGAAATTCTCTATCATCCTATATATGTACCTATTCTCTTGCATTTATTTCCTGAAACATAATTCCAGTACAGCGAAGAAATCTTCAAGTGACAAATAAAAAACGGAATGGCTATTGCTACCACCGGTGGTGTCAACAAGGAGCTATTGCCACTATCGGTTGTGTCAACTACAGCTATTGACACCGCCAAGTAAAATCAAAGAGTAGGTGGTGTCAACTACTGCTATTGCCACCACCATGCAAAATCAAAGAGTAGGTGATGATATTTTGATATGATCTCCATACAAAACTGTGTGGCACGGTGGTGTCAATAGCCGTAGTTGACACTACCTACTCTTTGATTTTACTTAGCGGTGTCAATGGCCGTAGTTGACACAACCGATGGTGGCAATAGCTCCTTGGTGACACCTCCTGGTGGTGGCAATAGCTCGTTGTTGGTACCACCGGTGGTGGCAATAACTTCTAGTTGACACCACCGGTGGTGGCAACAGAGCTACACAATAAAAAAAGAACTGCAATTTCTTCGATATTTTTTTCAAATTACACCTGGATGTGAATAAGTTATTATAAAGATAGGTATATATTCTGATAGAGCTTGAAGTTCTCGATCATCCCGTACAAATTTGTATTGTCTTGTACTGATTTGCTCAAGAATAACTCCAGTATTACATGGAGACTTTCCTTGACACTCTAAAAACAACCTCGATTTTTTAACTATCATTTGTGTTTCTTACTTCAAGAGGCCAGGATGATACGGAATTTCAAGCTCTATCAGAATATATAATTATATATCTAGAAGGTCATTTCTATACTGACGATAAGCTTGAAATGAAAAGAAAAGTAATAGTAAAGCATTCAGTTTTTTAGGGTGTCATCAAGGATATCTGTGTAGTACTCGAATTATGCTTCAACGAATAAATGTGAGACAACACACAATTACATAGGATGATAGAGAATCAGGCTCTATTAGAATATATAATTACATTTATTAAAACTTATTTTCATAGAAATAATAATTTGAAAATACTAAGATAGAGAATTTTGGTTCTTGTCAATTGGGAAAATCTTCGCTGTACTGGAATTATGTTTTAGGAAATAAATGCAAGAGAATAGGTATATATATAGGGTGATAGAGAATTTCAAGCACTATCAGAATATATAATTGCTTTTTTAAAAAGATAATTCTATAGTGATGAAAAATTTTAAAAATTTTGATGACAGTGACAAAATCAAGTATGCGGGAACCTGGACATGAAGGTGCCTTCATTCCACTTGATTAATTTTTCAGGAGATAAAAGCAAGGTACAATCAAAATACACAGTTTGATAGAGAATTCCAAGCGCTATCGAATAGTATAATTACTTTTCTCAAAATGTCCTTTTCGAATATCAAAAGAGCTGAAATACCGATTCCAGCTTTTGCTTTCTAGGGGTATATATAACATATTAATGCTCCGAGCATAAAGGTGCCTGGACCTCTTTGTACTATGTGTGTATTTATCTTATTTCGATTCATCGTCCTTGTGATAAATGAACTGAGTATTCGACCGACTGGATCCTTAACGCTCCAATACTTGAATATTTCCAGCATGCGAACGCATACAGAAAATACTAATAAAATGCACTGAAAACACTTTTTTCTTGCGTTTTTGATTTTCGTCACTTTATGTGCTGAATGTATATGATGGAACGGTTGTGTATTTTGTTATATAAACGATGTGGGTTTTTCCTCGTTCTGCTGGTAATCCGTCTACCTTAACGTCCTTTTTAGTGTTATGGATGAAAGAACCAGATATGTGTGTCTCTTTCATCAAATTCATTCTACATCAGTTTTACCCACCTCGTTTGACATAGTTCTATAGATAGCCGCTGTAATGTTTTTCATTCCTCAACCATATCAGTTTTGGTCCATCCAGTTTTAGTTTCTCATTTAACTGCTTGATCATCGACTTGAAAGGCTCCTTACACTGTAAACTTGAAAATAAGTTATAGAAAATAGAAAACGATTCTCAGTTTGTCCATATACGAATTCAAAAGCGATTTTCTACTTTCTTGAAAACGTGAATTTCAAGAATTTTATTTTTTTTCATCAAACGTATCCGGTTTTCCTGAAAATTAATTAAATTTTTTTGGAAAATTGTCATTGATTTTTCAGAAAATCAAAAGTGATATTCTAGAAAATAAATCGATTCTCCATAGAATTAACGACGCTTTTTAAACCTGAAAATCCCCGACGAATTCGTTTGTGGACAAATTGAAAATGAAAAGTGGAATATATTTTTAAAGAAACTGAAAATCTAGCACTTTTTTTTCAATTGTTTAGGATCCTTCTCGTTCAATTTTCTCTCGTTTGTGTCTTTGCTTGGACTAAAAAAGATTTATTGAGGATAGTAAAACAATGCTTCAATACATACCAACAAATAGGAACTTATTAGTTCTGTTCCTTCAATTTTCTGGCAGAACAAAACATATAAGGCAGGAGCATTTCTTGAAGATGCGACAAAAGGGTAACGACATGTTTATAAGAAAGAGATATGTTCGTCGACATATCTCTCTGTTTCTTAATTTCATTCTAATTTTGAACTAAGGAAAAGAACAATTCTGTACGGATGTAAATGTGAAATAAACACTAACAATGTATTGATGTAGGATAGCACTCCTCCGAATATGTGACTGAGACATTAATCAGAGGAATTTATTAGGTGTCCCATAAATTAGAGATTGACTGAACCAAAAACCTTCTGTGTCCATTACAGTACTTACCCTCTTTACATCTTCTCGTTTGACTAAAAAATACCACCAAGTTTCTTTCAAACGCACAGAAAATAAAGTCGATTTTCCAACAATTAATTTTATTTTTAAAAAAATCAAATACTGTTTTTACAAAAATCAGTTTGATTGTCTGTAAAATCAGTCGATTCTTCAATTTTAGAGAAAATCAGGAAACGTTTTCTATCACTTGAAGAATCAAAACGATTTTTCGAACTATTTTGAAAATCAAAATTCTTGAAAATCGACTCGATTTTTAACAAAGTAGAAAATGAACATTTTCAATATTCTTATAAAATCGTTCACGATTTCATAAACGGTCTAAAACCATTTCCGATTTTCAAAGTCTATTTTTTATAAACTACCCGAGGCGATGCTCGTGTCTAACTCGCGACGCGATCGCGTTGTCGCTATAGAGATCGCTGTGAACTCGCGGTGTTGCGGTGCGATCGC